TTATATTTTACCGGAAATATACTGAAAATATAAGTAAAATATACCAAAAAAATGAACTCGATGGCGGAGGGCGTCATCAACGGGCTAAAGCACGCACACGTGTTTCATAGGTAGGGGGATGAATCTGGAGGTTTTCTTCAAATACTTGTTCGAGGGATGCTAATCGGCTGCTGGATTCGAAAATTGGATTAATTTTTCATTATTACTGTTATCAAGAGGCACAAGCTTTCAGTTTTGTTTTGTCATCTTCAGATTGTAGTATAATTGTGAAATCTTGACGGGGATTGAATCTCGAGTGTATATCTTAGGTATATTTTAGGTATATGTGAGTCCTGATGAACGATTGAAACTCGAGTGTATATTTAAAGTATATTTTATGTGTATGTGTGTCCCGATCTGTCGCTGGCTTGAATTACGAGAATCTTGAGTGTATATTTTGTGTATATTTTATGTACATGTGTTGTTTAGTATTCATTTTTTTGTTGATGAATAACTTGGTGTTCTTTTGGCCATGATTGAATCCGTTTTGTTGAAAAACTTATATGAGGATAATTGTCGAAAACTTAGTTTGCTTGATTCGTTGATAGATAGTTCTATTTTGTACATATTGCGGGTATATATTGTGGGTATATGCAACATAATATATTTTTGGGTATGAAAATATATATGTTTTGGGGTATGAAAATTATGTACATGAATTATACATTACCATTAGATATGAAAATTTACATGTTGCGGGTATATACAATATACACCAATGTTCTACAAACACACATGTACATAAAATATACATAAAATATACACTCGAGATTCTCGTAATTTAAGTCAACGACAATTCGGGACACACATATACATAAAATATACTTTAAATATACACTCGAGTTTCAACCGTTTCTAAAAATGGATTTCAGAACCCATATATACCTAAAATATACCTAATATATACACTCAAGATTCAATCCCCATCAGATTGTCACAATTACACTACAAGCGGAAGAAGACAAAACAAAACTGAAAACTTGTGCCTCTCCATAACAGTAATAATGAAAAATTAATCCAATTTTCGGATCCAACAACGAATTAGCATCCCCGAACAAGTACTTGAAGAACACCTCCATATTCATCCCCCGCCTATGAAACAAGTGTGCGTGTTTTAGCCGGTTGATGACGCCCTCCGCCATCGAGTTCATTTTTTCAGGTATATTTTACTTATATTTCCAGTATATTTCCGGTAAAATATAACGTCCTCAACAAAAATCCGATAGACCCCCCTCCGTGTTTTTTTCCAGCAAATATTTACACAAAATTTTGCTGAAAACAATCAAAATCGAAAATACACGTTAAAATAAAAAAAATCTCAAATATTTTTTGTTTTAAATAGACGATAACCGGCGATCTGCAAACCTCGACAACCGGCGACCTGACCTTCGAGCTCTATTCGGCGACCTTCGACGGGCCCAGACCTCCAATGGGCTGCGACCTTCGCAAGCCGACCGCCGCCCACCCCGTTGTCGGATGCCCTACACGGGAAGAAGAAATTGAATTTTAGAATTTGATTATTGTAAGAATTTTGGGTTTCTGCAAATTGTAGAAGAAAGAAATTTGGAGATCGGTGGAGGAGAAAGAGGATATTTGGGAATGACGGGGAAGTGGGCGGTGGGGTGGTTTAGATAAGGAACTTTACTTTTTGATTTCCTTTTTTTGGGAAGATGATATTTATTATCACTTAATTATCTCATTACCATTAAATGAATATTAATAACAGTTAAGTGTGTTTTAGGTATAATTGATAATATTTTAACTTCTTTAGGTAAATTTAAAAATAAATATATAAGGGGTACAAAGGTGTAATATAATTTAAAGGGACTAGTAAGGGGTGCAATTTCCTCTTAAAAAAAAAGGAAAAGAAAGGCCCATAAATTCACATCTGCATACACTACCACGTGTTAATGTACAATACACATGTCCAACATCTAAAAGATTGCATCGGACGGTCACAATCAAGTCAACGAGATCGAACGGTTTACACTGAGTATGAGAGTGTATAAAAGCCTTTTTGTCACCGAAAATGTAGGGTTTTACTCATTTTTTTTGAAACCTTTTCTCTCTTCTTCAACAGCACAAGTTTGCACTCATCGCAATTCATATTGGTTCTTTCGAAAATCCGAACAGGAAACACATTTTTTTTTTTTTTGAATCGGAGTAAGAAAAGCGTTTATATTTCGGATCTATTTCAGATCCGACAAAATAAAATGCTTTTGTTTCAGATTGGACACAAAAGACGGTATTAGCAGCAGCCATCAATTCAAAGTGAGGATGTTGGAGCCACAAAAATGGTTATGTACGTTCCAAAATATGTGCAATTGCTGTTATTCAATATTTAATGGCGTGAAAAAAAAAATTTCATTATTGTACTGAAATCCAAAAAATCACTATGTATGTTCCAAATTATGTGCAATTACTGTTAATTAATGGCGTGAATTAGTTTTTAAAAATTAATTAAGTTAATCCTTATTATATATTAATAGATTATGTAAATATAGATATAAATTTTGGAATAAAAAGTGTAGTAAATATTTTCTAACAAAATCAAGTAAGATCTGCGACCATGCCAAGAAACACCGCTTGGTTTTGTCCTCGGAACATATAAGTAAAATCATGTGAATCTTGAAGAAATCAAGTTTGGAGAAAACGGTGATAAAAAGACAGCGTGATATCATTCAAAATTAGAAGAAACCACTAGTTTAAATTCACGCGGCTGAGGAAATGTGCGTTAAATTATTTAAAAAAAAAAAAAAAAAGTTCCAATATTCGGGTCTCATGTGCTTGACAAATTTTCATTTACTTTTTTACTTCCCTCTCAAAATAATCCACTAATTCAAGAACTACACAGTAATAGTATTCATTTAATGACCAGCAATAAAAAAAATAATTATTACTCTATTTTTTGACCAGATAATAATGAGAAATATTATGGTCCCGTTACGAACTATTCTTGTAACCGTTAGATCATCTATTTTATACTAACTACATGTGTATCCGACAATTAAACCTTTGGAAGGGATGATTCCGTATAGTATTTCGCATACACCTCAAAAAAATTCAACAATAAACTACACTGTAAAATTAAAACAACCCCGACCTTAATAAAAAGCGCCTATACCCACTTCATGAACAAAAATCAAAACCAAATCAGAGTAAGAAAACGAAAGAGATAATTTTCGCGAATTTTTACCTGTTTCTCGCTGTGATTAATTATTATATTCTGCTTTCACTTTTCTTTTTTTTT